CAATTATATAAACCCCACTATTGTATAGCTGGTTGGTTGATTTGTTTATGAAATTTAGCTACCACCGCACAATGGTTTATAGTAGTAAAACACAAATTCACTATATAATAAAACCAAAATAAACAGCAGCATAATAGTAATTACTTTTACAATCTCATGAATTTTACTCAATTATAAATATCCTGGCCTTGACTTTTCTCTCAGCCTAATGCAAGAGCAAAACTGTTTGTGCACGCACACTTTCTAATTCCAATTAAATTATTTTTGAGGCTGCTCTCTTTAGCCTTGGTTCTCAACTTGGCCTCTCGTTTTGGGGGGAAGCTCTTTTTTCTCTGTTTCTCTTAGTTTGGATTTTAAAAGATCAAAATATTTTTCCTCCAAAAAGAAAGGCTTAGGAAAAAGCATATTTTGACTTTGAGATCAAGATGCATATTCAAAATATTTGCAGTAACATGACACGCAGCTGAAAAACTGGGAGTACCTTGTGGCAGCAACAGGCTTGGTAGGGCAACCTTCACAATATCTTCACATTCAATATAACTTAGAACTTCAGTGAACACTTTCTGACATACATTTTGGCCTTTTCAATGAGAATTAAACTTATACTTTACTTCCATGTATGTACTCCACTAGACAAAATCAGACATCTGTTATTCTGTAATTATACACTCCCCCTTTTTCTTAGTTTTCTTTTCTTTTCTTACTTTTCTTTTCTCTTTCAGTGTACACTCTATCATTTCTTCCTCTTTAAATTCAAGTTGCAATCCTTCATATGCTATGGTCATCACCAAATAGGTCCATATTTACCAAGAGTAATGCTTTAATCATATGTCTACCGCAAGTATTTCCTGCTCATTGGTTAGTTTTGGCATATTTTGTGCACATGCCGCAAATACGGACAAAGCTTTCACGCAAACCAGAATTTCTACTTCGCTCTTCTGTACTCTATTCTATATTCTCTAGAGATATATAAGGTTGTAATATATGTGCTATTTATTGCATAGAGCAATTTTTTAAAATGGGAAGAATTAGAGAAGCAAGCATATATGGTTTCCAACCAGTTTTTCCATTATTTTTGAAGGTAAATACTAAGCCAGCCCTTTTATACTCTCCTAGACTTCACCGATCTTCAACAATTCTTATCAAATGAGCACAATCTAGGACCTTAGATTCCCAGTGTTTTAGGAGGTCATCCAAAGCTTTGATATGGCTTTCGGGAGTCTCCCAAAAGTTATTAAATTATAATTTTTAGTGAGTGCAGAATAATATAATAAGTATTATTAATTTTAACCATCTAAATGTACATTGAATTTAAGGGAAAGCAGTGTTTGACTTGGTAATAACTAATATGACATAAGCCCCCCAAGTCTCTTCACTTCTTTTGCATGGAAGTCTGTATCTTAGGAGAACATTAATACATGCAAACAAGCCAATAAGCCCTTTCAAGTGTGGAGAGGAGTCAGGTGCAAGCAACCAGAACCTTCATGGATAGTCTCAAGCAGAAGCTTTATTATTAGTCACCTATGTTAGAAAAATCTAGCCAGACTGACTGCATTCCCTTGGGAATAGTCAGATAAGGCTTCAGGGATTCTGGGGAGGTTAGGCCTTTTCCACTTCCTGCAATGCAAGGTCTCTAAGCTCAGCCCTTTCTTAACACCTGCTTTCAGTCTAGTTTGATATTCCAACCACAGGTTTGTCCTTCTCTATTTGTCAATGCCTTTTTTCCACTGGCAAAGTAATTGTAATAGTATTAAGAAAATGAAGCACAAAGCAACAACTTTGCCTAGTGTGTTGTGCTGATACATGAAAACACAAAACATTATTATGGTAATTTCTGCACTTTTGATTTATAGCATCTTCTAGATCTAGAGTAATACAGACCATCAAATTCTAGACCTAGAAAATTAGAACTATGCCGCCTTCGGTCTGATCTAAGTATAGTATATAAAATCATACATTGCAATGTCCTACCTGTCAATGAATACTTCAGCTTCAACCATAACAATACAAGAGCACACAATAGATACCAACTCAAGGTTAACAGCACCAAACTTGATTGCAGGAAATACAACTTCAGCAACAGAGTGGTCAATGTCTGGAATACTCTACCTGACTCTGTGGTTTTTTTCCCCAAACCCCAAAAACTTAGACTGTCTACTATTGACCTCACCCCTTTCCTAAAAGGTCTGTAGGGGGTGTGCATAAGCGCACCAATGTACCTGTCCTATTGTTTCTTTTATATATTTTTAAATTTTTCTTATATGTATCCATGTATTCATAACTATGTTTTTACTTATACCTATTATCTTGTAAGCAATTGACAAATAAAAATAAATAAAATTACAGTAAACAGACAGGCTTTAAAATATTGCTGCAGAAATGACTAGATCTAGTTGATCCTATGAAGATGTGGAAGGTGCCATAGTGAAGAACTGGCAACACCTCTGTCTCCACAACAGAATGTCCTTGTTTCTAAACCTCTCTTGTTATACCTTTGTCTGATCATAATTTATATTTTATTCTTTTGATCTCTTGTTTTGTCACAGGGCTTGCAGTCTTATTTCCTCAGAAGAAGGAGGTAAATAATCAGGCTCAGAAATTATAAGGGATGTTACAACTCAAGCCTCAATGTGATTTTTAAAGAAATGGATCACTGAAACAGAAGCATTATTGTAGGAAGAAATGTAAGTGGGCTGAAAGGGAAAAAAGCGGGGTTTGCTGGTAAGATCTCGGGGCTATCTGAAACAATTCAGTAAAGATTTTTGTCTCGGTTCTAACAATAAAAACGGACGCATCTTTCCGCCTGAATGAAAAGCAAGGGCGCGTCACAGATCGATTATCGATCAATAAAGAAAGAAAGGCACAGGGCAGACAGGAAGAGGCCGCGACCATTCAAAGCCAAAACAGCGTTGGCGGTCGGGGTGGGTTGGACGACAGTGACGACGACGACAACTCACCGTGAACTCTTGGAAGCCGCTCAGGGAGAAAGCGCCCTCCTCGTCCAGAAGAAGCTTGTCTAGGTCCATCTCGATCGAGGGGCGCGAAGAGGTGCCGGACGAGGCTTTCGAGGCTACTCCCCGTTTCGAGCGGAGCGGCGATGGGAGTCTGTCACTGCCCGAATCCCCCCCCGGTTTCTGGACCCCAGCTCCCCAGCGATCGAGCAGCTCCTTAGATGAGCTGCGCCTCCGAAAAGAAGGAACCCAGGCCCGGCGCGGCTTCTCGCCTTCCTCTTCCTGGGGCGGGCGAAGAGGCGGTCTTTTCTGCGGCCGCAGCCAGATGTAAAAGGCTGGGCGGTCTGGTTGGAGGACGAGTTACGGAGCGACTGACGCTATAATTCCACCTCAGGTCCAAATAAACCATGCGGGGAAGGACGAATTTTTGCCTTTGGAAAGGGAAGCCGAGCAGTTTCTTTCTTGGCACAGCGTGGAATTAGCCCCAGAGTCGGAGGCATAAGGGGACTGACTGCTAGGCTCCTACCCTCCTACTGTCAGAGGATAGTAGTCAAAGATAGGTAGGTAGGTAGGTAAATAGGTAAGTAGATAGATAGACAGACCTTATTGTCACTTTGAATGTACACTAATCAGCATACATTAAAATGAAATTTTGTTGCATACAGCTCTTAAAGCATCATCACTTCCAATATACACTACATAAACATGACAAAAAATAGATACAAAATTATGCATATACCCACATACATGACACAGAGAAACAACACAGTCTAGTTCAGATGTATACATGTGCCTGGTGAGAAAAATGAATCTTGTGAGTTTTTACTAGACAGATGGCACAGGGAACAAAGCTGTTTCAGAATCTGCTCTTTTGTTTCTTAGCCTCCCTAAATAAGTAGCAAATAGGTGTCTGACTCTGTTCACAGCCTGGTGTCAGGTTCATTCACAGCATGGGTTAGATTACATAATGAGGAAAAGCGAACATATTACTGTATTGTGCGCTTTGGTTCCATGGTTCATAAGGACAGCAATCTAACATCCACAGAAAACGGCAGAGTTGTGCTGTAGAGGTAAAATAGCATTGAGAGAGAGCCCCTTTTTTCCTGCATCCACAAGATAGGCGTACTGTGCTGCTGTAAATCAGTTTGGCTCTATACCCACAAAAGTTCATGGCCTCATGCCACCCTGACGGACTATGATTATTATGCACCATCAAGTCGACCACATGTTCTCCATGAGGATCTGTCCCCAATCTGGTCCTCTTTTAACAATGCACTCATTGCCTCTGTCCCAAAGATGATTTTTCAAGAGGCAACTGGACTTTCTAGATTTTTCTTTGTAGACGTTTCGCTTTTCATCCAAAAAGCTTCTTCAGCTCTGAGATGCTTCTTGGATGAGAAGCAAAACATCTACAAAGAAAAACCAGAAAGTCCAGTTGCCTCTTGAAAAAGCACCTTTGGGACAAATCATGATCTGGAATCTCCATAGACACACATCGCTGTTCTAACCAGTCCGCCATGCCACACTGAACACCTCAAATTTCAGCTTGCTTTATTGCCATTTTAATATTAATTGTAGGCATCACGTTTTATTAGCTGTTGGTTTTATTATTTATATGGCGTCCAGTGGTAAATCGCTGCGGGTTGTCAGCAGGGTGCGGATTCTGGCGCTGATTATAAATATAGCCGTCTTAAATCATAAAGTCTCCATGGAAATGAATTTGACCTATGGAGCTTCTTGGAGCACTGCGGTCTGTGACTTTATTAATGGGCTATTAAGGCTTCTGAAGCCTCCTCTGATTCTTCCGAAAAGCTGTCACTTCCTCTCTGACAGAGGCAGAAACAACTATCCAAGGAAAAACAATCAGAAAATTCGAACAGTCGCTCCAAGCCGTTGCTATCTCTACTTTAGCATTGCGCGAGCGTGTGTGTGTGTTGGGGGGGGGGGGGGGTGTGCCCCCCCCCGCGCGGGGGGGGGGGGGGGGGGGGGAAATTCACGTGATTGTCTTTACCACCAAGTTGGCCTCCGTGCGTTGTTGTTGCTGCCGCCGCTGCTGCTACTTCCGGTTACGGCTGTCAGGAGGACTCGGCGCTCCTCCCTTACCTCTTTGCTCATCGCTGGCTGAAGCGATGGCGAGCGGAGGCCCGAGCGTGCCACTCACAGAGGAAAGGGAGGCGGTGACGACGCTGTCCGGACCCGGCGCGGCAGAAGCTGAGGAAGAGGAAGAGGAAGAGCAGGAGGTGTTGGCTCTAGCCGTCCGGCTGAGGCGACGTCTGAGGGGCTGGGAAGCCACCGTGACGGCCGTGCAGCGGCTCTTGGTTTGGGAGAGGCCGCCACAAAGCCTGGCCGGGGCCGTGGCGCTGGGAGCTGCTTTGTGGTGAGCGGAGGGAAGAGACGGCGGCGCAAAGCAGAGCGTGGCTCTCACGGGGCAGGGCCCGGAGGGGAAGGCGAGCGGAGCTGTAGAGGTGGTGCCGAGGGAGGGTTTGTTTTGTTTTTTGGACTCTGAGCCGGAGTCCCTGGCCCTGTTGTGGCTACTGAGGCTGCTGAAAGAGGGTTGTTACAAAAGGGGGCAGGCCTGCCACTGGAGCCCGAAATACCTGCAGAGGCTGAGAAGGGATTGATTCCTGGCGGTGGAAACAATGCCCAACGAGAGCCATAAATGACCGCATAAATCTTTCCCTGAAAGGGCTGCGTGAGATCTCGGATCTTATGCTCGCTTTGGGTCTTGTAGTCCCCTTCTCCTCCCATTTTCCTTCAAGGAGTTCAAGACTTCAAGGTGGCATGCATAGGCTCGTGGGCACAAAAAAACCACAATCTTCTGAAGGAAGATTGGGTTGAGAAAAACAAACCACTGACTGAAGTCACCCAATTAGGTTTGTGGATAAATAGAAAGTTGCATTTGGTTGCTGGTTAACCTAGGTTAAATTAAGCATATGGGTGTTCTCATGGACCGCCGCCTTAAGAATGATTCCTCACTGATCGATTCCCATTAATCTTACCAATCAGCTGTCCGTATTCTTTTGGCTGTCTTGGAAAAGAGTTGGAGGGAATGAGAAACTTGGTCTATCTACGCTGTGTTAGATGGGCATATGTGAGAACTATAATTAGATGGTGAATTGAGGGCTAAACTAAAGATTCCATAGTCTTCACTTAGAATTCAGGTCAGTAGTGTAGAGATGTGGGAGTGGGAGCTATCCCAAATTCTCATAACTTTGTGTGGTAAATTAAACTCAGCAGTAATGATGTGGGCAGTGCTAGATAGTACAATACAGTCTAGTAGTATCCAGGTTTCTCTCAGATCAAGTCCAGTACTTAGAAAAATATTTTCTAATGCAGATTGTAAATTATTTATATATTCCTGAATACTGCAGCACAATATGATGGCTGTGTTGAAATAAGGATCATTTGATAATCTGATATGCAGTAATAAAATAATGAATTTTGTTTATTGTCAAGAGGCTGGTGAATGAGTGGTAATACAAACTGATTGAAATAAATGAATCTGATGTTCTAATGTAAATGTAAATTACTTTTTGTATGTCTCTGCAGAAATATCCCCTGCCTGCTATCAGGATATTTCTCTCAATGCCTCACTTAGTTTATTGAATTAGACGTATATAACAAGGGGTGATCCAAGCCACAAATTGCAATCAGTTTAGTAAGAGTAGAATTTTTTTCTAATGTATGAGCAGTAAGAAGGATAGCATGATATTAAGTTATAAATATCAAATTATACTGTTAATTGATAATTTGTGGAGATCACATGGTTGAATAACAGATAGACCTTTTGTGTTATTTGATGCCTGTATTCTTGATTTTACATTCTGGAAGTTTCTAGATTTCTTTTATATACCCTATAATGTTTGCTGTTGCAATACATTGTTTCTAACAACATAACTACACACCACTTTTTTTTCCAATTTCCAAAAGAAATGTTTTCTAGGCAGTGAAACAGAAGGCATATGTAGTCTCATTTAATATTTATATCTAAGCATTCTCTGCCATACAGTAATGAATGGAGAGTAGTTAGATAAATCTAAAAGAATAAGATTTAAATGTATCAGTGATAAAAATGGATAGTTGTGGATAGAGTGCTGTAAAAATTGTTTTGTGAGATGTATCAGTGATATAAGAGTCTTGAAACTATGTGATGCAAATTGTAAATCTCAAATATTTTGGTTTTACTTGAACAAAATTAGGCTTGACACTGTTTTTGGTTGCCTCTATATAGAGATTCAGTACAGTGTCTTGGGTTGAAAGTATAGTTCAAAGAGGGGATTGCATCTCAGAATTAATGACTCACCTACTTGATGAATAGTCAGGTATTCTATTTGTCTAAACTCTAAAAGTATGTCAGTATTATCTACTCTGCCTTATGGTAGCTCACCAGAGAGGTTAAAATCTTTCTAGCTTTGCCCTGAGATAGAAATGTAAATGCCAGGCTCTGATTTTTAGCAATTGAAGTATAGGGAGTGTCACTGAGTGATGCCACATAAACAATCCTGTGCTGTTCTTATTCAGGTAAATACCACTAATCTTACTTCCAGTGGAACCACAAAGTAAAAAAGTATTATGTGAACCTAAGAAGATTATGCATTGGGTTATCTGTTCCAGAGTTCTTTGCAGGTTGATCTAAAGAGTAGTCATAGTTCATCATGCAAAATTTAATATTTGCTATCTGTGGCTTTATAAATAATTTTTGTTCTTTATTCTCAGTGGATAAATGGATTTTTTTCTATTTGTAAGTATTGCCAAGAGTTCTAGGATTGACTTGTGATAAACAAGAGCTGTTACTAGCAGTTACAGATACCTGGAGGTTTGCCCAGGTGTGTTTCTCATTAGACTGTGTATTCACTGCATACGAACTACATGGTTTGTAGTATAAATCTTGGAACTGATTGCTTAGTCACTCCTGGCAGTGTGTACTAGGTTGTAAGCTCAAGAAGCTTTCGCTTACCCTCTGCCAATTGAGATTTTGTCAAGCCTATAATTGCTGGGAATTGTTATGCTAGCACATTCCTTCCTTTCTAGCTATGTGGTTTCTGCACAGACAGCAACATTTAACAAGGCTGAGTAGTAGAGTCCAGCAACTGCTGGAAAACCCCCCAAAACAAAACATCCTGTTTACTCTTAGAGACAATGAGCTGACTCTCAGCAAAGCATATTCATGGATTGGAGCCATGCAGGGATTGGAATTGTATTTCTACTGACTGCTGCTATGAAGACTTGAATTAAAAATAGCCAGAGAATGTTGTTGTTATTCTGTGTAGTAACTTTTTAGATACTCTATTACACGGGTGTCAAACTTGCAGGGTTATATTGCCATCACACAATATTTCACGATGTTTTTCCCCTTCGTGGAGCTGGGGTGGTGTGGCCTGCGTGTGATCTATCTGGCCCACCCGCTGCCAGTTTGACACCCCTGCTCTATGACAATTGATTGGGGCTCTACCAGAAAAATAGTCATTATTACATTTTTAGAAACCAGTCATTTCAGATTCCTAGATAATATCTGCATAACCCTTATAAATGTGTACGTGCCTGTCATATAACTTCATTTTTCAGAATATATGTTTCTATGATGTACACTCGTATCCTAGGGAATAATAATAAAAATCTAATAAAAATTGAAATATCTGTATAAATGCAAATTTAAAAAAAAAACAGATTCTGAGTAAGTCAAACCTCTATCTTAGACTTAAGGTTAAAGACTTGCTTTGGGCTCTGAAGCTATTTTTTTCCAATTTTCTTTTATAATGAGAAAACAAATTTTCCAAGATTATTAAGATGGAATATAGATGCTGCTCTATTAAAAAGATACTGAATACTGATAAAACAATAGAAAGTAATTGAAGTTGTTCTCATGTATAAAAAGGATGTTTTTTTTAAAATATTAATATAGCTGCAACTATTATAAATTTTTTTTATCATGACTGCATTTACTGTATAATTAAACCCTTTCTACTCCTGTGAATGATTTTGATTGGTCTTACATTTCTTTCCCAAAAGATATGTTCAAGTATCTGCAAACGTAGTACTCATACTTGAATACTTATTTCTGAGAACTACACATCTCTCTGCCTTGTCTCATCCATAACCCTGTAGCAAAATATGAGACAGCTGTGAGAGGAAAAGCTATCTATTTAGCAACCTGTCTATGGAGATTCTCGGTCATCCAGGTCATGGCACCTTTGGCATAACCATGACCTGGATGACTGAGAAACGCTCTTCAAATGGTGCAGGAGTATGAACGGATTTCCAGAAATATTGCACACTACAGGAATCATTTACGCTTCAGTTTGAGATGCAGACACAACGGACTCATTCCCAACAGCCTGCGCCTGTCTTCAACAGTGAAGGGACACAGGACAGAAACATCTGCAGAAAGCACAGCTCCAACTTCTCAATGAAAATTAGAAAGTCCAATTGCCCCTTGGGGGAAAAAAAGCACCTTTGGGATATTTAGTCAAGACTTGTGCTGATGATATTACCTAGTTAGGGCAATGGGTTAGGGTTAGGTCTATAAGGAAACAAGCAAACTCAGAGAGCACCAAGGACCCTCATTTCAATCCTGAGCTGCACATATTCTCCTTTATTGGTACTGTAGTTAGCAATCTATTTGTACTTATGGCAAGAACATTCTGAAAAAAATCAATGTGGGTAAAGAAAAATGGAACATTAGCACTGTTGCCATTACTGAGCCTTAGGCCAGGAGCAGGCAGTATGCTGGTCTCTTGTAGATCACAAATATTCAGTTTGGAGTCATAAAGAACCCTACCTGTTTTTCTGCTGACCAGATGATCAAGTGGCAACAGACTGCTGGTTTCTTGCTGTCTAAAACCTTGGTCAGACAACCAGGATGACCTTTGGACAGAAAAGTTAACCAACCTATATTGATTGGGGAAGGATCAAAAATTGTATGAGAAATTCCATTCTGCCTTTTTCCCCCAACTCTGACACAAGTTGAGGAAGCTACTACTACCTTGAAATTCACTATGGTCCAGAAGACTTGGAAAGGGAAAGTAATCAATAGCTGATAAGACAATTGAGTCAGGAGAAATGGAATCTTTTGTTATATTTTTGCCAATACTTTATGTAATGTCTTGTCTCTGACTTTCCAGGTTGTTTTCCTCTACTTCATTACGTCCCCTTTTCCTCCTTAGTACTGGTTTTATTGGTATTCTGCTGTTGGAGAGATGGAAGCCCCAATTTTTATTGGATTTCTCAGGTAAGTGAACATAGTAAATGCAGTAGAAGTTAAGTCTTTTGCAAATATAGTTCTTTACTTTTGGTTCTAATTCTGTTATTTCCTACTAGTGAAATTTAGGCTAGGCTTTTTCCTTAAGAACTTTATGTAGCAGGCAAGGGTGTTTCAGATCTACGAACTGATACTAAACACTATTTGACAGTGGGAATTGCTGACTGAGGAGCACATCTATTCATGAGGTCATTTGTGTCACAATTTGCTTGGATTTTACTTAAACTGAATTAAGGCAATGCTGTATTTCAGTTGGTTTGCACGGTATTGTATTGTCCACTTTGGAATCCACTGAGAATTAAAGGGTTTTTTTTTCATCTAAAAGTACAGTATTTGATTCCTTGTTTATATGCATCCTTTATCTTGGTTGATTTGTAGAAAATAACACATATCTTGTATTATTAGGTCCTAAATATTTGAATACCATAAGCCGCAATTACGATTTTATGATAGCTCTGCCCTCATTTTAGCTTTAGCTTTTGATGATTGGACATTTAGGACATCCATCTGACAAGTCCTGTGTATGTGAAGCAAGTTGTGAAGTAATATACAAATGAAGACGAATATATGTGTCCCAGAATAATGCTGCAGGATCCAATCTGGGTTGGTCACCGGGACTAGAGGTTTTGACTTCTGAGCTTTGTAGTAATTTATTTTATTTTAGATAACTTATCTGATTCAAAACTACCATAGCCAACTTTTCAGTAAAGGGTTATCGTAATTGAGAACTATGCAACAGCCTCCTTTTCTTTCTGCTCAAAAAGTACATTTATCTGTTCATCCTGTGAAGGTTGTTTATGACCAACTGTAGAAATGGACACTATAATTGATAATGAACAGGTATGTTGTAGTAGGAGATCTGGGATTTGAAAGCTATTCAGAAAACACTGCAGACATAGTATTTCTCAATATGCATGAGATTAAAATAACTATTGCAAGAAAGAAACTGTTTGCAAGATGTTAATCTCCATGAATTTAATAATGATGCATTTAATTAATAGCTCATTAACAATGAATGGGTTATATCATTCATAATATTGGTTGAAGGAGTGAATGATAAAAGCAAGGAATTGTCAGAGTCCCTATTTTAAGAAGTAAGCATTGAATTAATGCTTTATGAATAACCTGATTTTTCTCCCATGTTTTTTGCCCAAAGAAATGCATCTTGCCATTTTAACTTCATATTTTTGATTGGTGACAGTGTTCATAATGTTACAAAATAAATGTTCAGGAGTGTTTATTACCCTATATTTTAAGTAATGGAGTTTTCATATGACATTCCTATATTCCTATTCGGGTGAGTGGATGCTTGTGGAAATTTGGACAATCTGTCTTCTTTTTCTTCAAGAAGATAAGTTCCATAGTGTACATTTCTTGTCTTATTCTGATAAAATCCTGGTGTAGTTGAAATTACAGAGGACATATGGCATTGGTGATTCATTGTTGGTTCTTAAAAAGAGTTATGATTAGATGATTAGGAATTTCATGGAGAGAGTATGGCATAATCTTTAGCCGTAGTCCATAATAGAGGGTTCTTCGCTTTCAGCTCTTAAAGGAGTAACATTGTGCAGTTTTCTTGCATTTGGTTAGAAAAATTCTGTTTGCTTGTATTTATGCTAGTTTCTTCATAATTTTTATATATTTCCACTCCGTATAGCTAAACCTGATGCTTTCCTTTGTAGACTTTGTAAGAACACATGGATTACAGTAATACTTGATAGTGGCAAAAAAATCAGCAGGAGCCTGAATAACATTTTTATTAAAAAACATGAGCTTTCAGGAACTTATATGTTTTCATAAAACGTGTTAGCAAGAAAAGGATTTCTTGGGATTTTTCAGATTTACTTATAAATCATTTTGATATAGCTGCTCTTTGCAGAGGTGCATTGGAATTCTAAAAATTAGGTATCTTTTTGCTGAACACTTATTGTTCAAACTGAAATCTACAATCTTCTTTTTCTAAGTATCATACTGCATGCTGTTTTATCATGCTGAGCATTTTCTTAAAGCTCTGTAATTAGGAAATTGGCAAAACAGACTTGTTTCTTTTGGATTAATCAGGGAACCCCAATTATCAAATTTATCAAATTATCAATTTTGCACCGGTTTGGGGAATTGAAGTTTCTTTTGCATTTTCTAAGCTTCCAAAATAAAATAGGGTGAAATGGGTAAAACAGGGGTAATATTACTGAATGGGTTAATTAAGGCTGTACAGGCCCTTTAATCTCCTAGGAAGAGCAAAATAGGCTGATGTAAGCCAGTCATAGTGCTCCAACACACAATGACTAGCTTCCACTGTCTTGCAGGCAGCACAGTATTCAGAATATTCATAGATGTAGTAAATACCCATTGTGTTAAGCTGCTGAATTAACAGTACTTTTTCATGTGATAGAATAAACGCTGTCTTTCATATGAGCACAGTAACTGTGATTATTGGGTGCTTGTGTTTGCGAAATCTGGCCCACAAACTTCACAAGATTGTTTCAATGAGCTGTTCAGTTTGTACACAACAGAAAAACCCTGATTGCGGTTTGTAAGGGATTACATACAGGCCTTAATATTATAAGGAACAGAACAGCATGACAGCTGCTAAAAACTGGTGAAACTTTTCCGGATTCAGTTCTCTGTTGCAAATGAGTTTTTTCACAAACAGTTTTATATGGTTAAGACTTAAATGGTTGGGCACAACTGAGTTGCTCTTTTGGCAGCTTTGCATTTCCATGTTTGACATGCTGTGTGCCAAGAAAGTCTCAGTTTCTTCAACAATTCTCTTTAGGTATTTATAGTTATTTTAGTTAGTTATATTTTTATTATTACTGAATCAACATTAAAGAGATTTTGCAAAATAAAAATCTGAAAATACGGTGTGAAATTAATGGAAAAAATATGATTTGAGGTCGTAGGTGAAAGCATAGCAAATAAGTTATACATTTGAATATTGGAACATTTTATAATTTTCATATTTTCATGACTTTAACCATAGTAGTCAGAAACACACTTTAAAAAATACAACAAAGAACTTGAATTTCTCCAGTATGGAAGCTTTTGTATAGTATGCTGAGTGTTTTTGCTAAGATTTATTTATTTGGCTACTACTTATGGAAAAATCCATGAGAATTCCAGTTCTGCATTTAGTTTTGACCAGATGTTCAAGTGTTCAGGAAAGTTCTTCCGAGTGTCAACTACATCTATGTGCTATTTGGAAAATTTCAAAGTCTCAATTGAAAATACTGTTGTTGTTGTCAATCTTCAATTCAATTCACAGTCTGGGACTGGTACCAATTTAACAGTTCAAGTCCTAACCAAAGACCTGTTAAGGTAGCGTCTGAGTATATAGGCAGTACCAACTAGGGTGGTTTTCTGCAAAGTCAGGATATTCAGGTATAGTAAGTTCAAAATTTCCATGTATCTATGCGGCCCTTTGGTTATTGCTCCAAGGGCTCCTATTACTATTGGAACAACCATTGATATATTCCTCCATAGTTGTTCAACTTCAATTTGCAAATTATTACTATTATTAAGTTAATATGACATTAAGTTTATTAAGTTTATATGACACATGACTTCCAGTGCCTAATTTAGTCCATGAAATATTGTTAGTATATAAAATGGTTAATAAATAGTTGTTAGTATACGTTAATATAGTACCACAGTATTTGGGCAACTTCTAAAGTGTGGGTCTTGCTTTTCCTTAGTCCTTGTAATACCTACACTTATAAAGCTAAGTTCTTCAGCTCTGTATATGTTAGATGATTGCTAAAGACGAACTTCTATGTTTCATTTCTCAATGAATGCTTTAAAAAAAACACCACTTTTTTTTATCCTGCAGTACAACCCATAGAAGAACCGGGGGGAGACAGGTAGGTGTGCTCTTAACATTCTGGGGAAGGTCATTTTTCCTTGTTCTTGTTCATGTAGCTCAGTATTTTGATTTGTGATATTATTTGAAAAGTCCCTTCTAGAATATATTCTTTAACCTATTTATTTGATCTTACTTTATAGGATTGGGAACTGAAATACAAACATTTAATTATTACTTTATCCGATCAGATCAGATCACCGAACATACTGTATTTTCAAACCCTCAAAAATTGTTCCTCTGGGTAGATGTTTCTTCTGAAAATATGTTTACATTTTCAAACAAAGTGTGGTGTTTTTAATTGGACCTTGGTTAGCCCGAGTATCTTCTTGTGAAAATTATTGTATCAAATACAATATTGGGGGTCATTTTGAAGGCTTTGCTTACTAATATGTTGTTTTTATTCCAGTGACCATGAGATGACAGGAGCACAACCTCACCTGCTCAGTATTTCAGAACTCTGTCGTTGCTTGGCTGAGAGCTGGATTACCTTTAGGCTATACCTGCAGGAACTTCTGCAGTATAAGAAGCAAAACCCTGCCAAGGTAGGTACGGAATTTGTAGGGCCTTTCATGTAAGAAGCCAAAGCGTACTATAGTCACTGTTGTTCTAGGGAAAGTTGTCCCATGTTTGACTTCAGAGGAAGGCATTAAAATGCATTGTCTCTGGGAATTAGAACTGATTCATATCTAGACATTTTTCTGCATGGATGTTAAAACAACTATATTTGGACATGGTCATCCTGCTGTACAAACAGTGTTTTAAGTAGTGAGCTTAATAAAAAGCATTGCCCAATGTATGTGAAAACAAAAAAACTGTAATAGAGGTTTTATTACATCACTTCAGTCGAAATACAGGTAACACAAGTTATTTCCCAACCATTGTCCTTGGACAAGCATCTCTTTGATGGCCCACTCACAACATTATTTGCATTAACTTGTTGCTAACAAAGCTGTTCTTAAGACTTTCGTAGAATTTTTGTTCATAATTTCATAATTTAAGCATTTCCTGTTTTCTACTGTTATACTTATTAATTTAGAGTTTAATAACTTTAGTTTTGTGCACTTGTGCATTGTTTGCATATTACTTCTTTTGATGCGGCCTTCTCTGTGGATTAATTATGACTTGTCCTAGGGAAGCAAAAAGCATCTTAATTAATATATGCAAGAAGGCCAGTGACCAATATGTTTCAGGCATGTAGCTTGCTGTTGTTGTTTTTTCTTCTCTTCAGAAGCTAAATATTAGCTAGCTATTCTTATGAAGATTAGTCTTAGAGTATATAAAAAGATTTGTGGATAATTGCAAGCAACATTAAAGAATGAAAGGCCCTTGTAATTTGGGAGGCACTGTAAATCTGTTACAAAGAAGGCTACGTATACTAGCTATTCTGTGAGCATTTCTTTTTTCTAAACATTAGTTTTATCCCTCTTCCTTCTGTTTGTCCAGTTCTGTGCCAGAATCTGCTCAGGATGCTTGATTCTAGCAATTGTGGGACATTATGTTCCGGGCATCATGATCTCCTACATTGCCTGTGAGTATGTTTAATCCTTTGCATCCCTTTTAAAACTAAAGACACCATTTTAATAACAAATATTGTAAGCTTCTAGGCACCTTTTAGGCAGGCGCAGGCATTTTCAGCAAAACAATTTAAAAGAAAATACAGCCACATCTTTCAAATGGTATTGTAAAAACCTTTATATAAAGCCAGTAGTAGAGCTTTCAAATGGTGATATATATTTCCTCTGCCAGTTTCGTGAGGAAATAAAGCTTGGGGAATAAGGGCAATTGTGTTTTTAGTGTGGGGGAAGCTAATGCAAAAACCTGCAGTTTATTCAATTTCAGCTGTGGAATCTAAGGTTTTTTTTTTCCTATTTATGCATTATTAACAACATTGATAGAGAGATTGAGTGCTGAATTTGTACACTTCTGGTACTATGTCAGGCACAGGAAGAATTACTGAACATAAGAAACAGTGAGAGGGACTGATAAGTTGATGGTCCTAGAGAAGACATTAACTGACTTAGCACCAGAGAATATATATGCTTTTAACACGTCTCTGAGTTCTATCCATATTTCCAGTACTTAGTATTCTACTGTGGCCGCTGGTAGTTTACCATGAACTCATTCAAAGAATGTATACTCGTTTGGAGCCCATCCTAATGAAACTGGACTACAGTATGAAGGTGGAGACTTTGCATCTTAAACATGAAAAGAAAAGTAAGACAACTGTTGCTTACTACTAAAAATACAGATCAAAAATTACTAAAGAAAGTTGGATTGACTGGTTTCTCCAGTAGGAACAGGGTCTATAGTAAGCCTGTAGAAAATGTATGGATGTCGGTGTGCAAATTGGGGCAAGGAATGCGAAGAAGCACACACTGTTAAAAGAAACTTTTTGTAAAACAATATTTTCTTTTCTGTAGGACTAACTCACAGAAGCCATGGGCAATATTTATTTTGTTTTACTCTACAGAGCGTCAAGGAAAGATTGAGCCAGAAGCTGGCAATGAACCAATGGCAGAAACAGAAAGTGAGAGTGAAGCAGAACTGTCTGGCTACTCTCCAGTGGTAAGGGTGGAAGGAAAGAAGCAAAGGGTGAAGCATGATCAGGTGAAAGAAGGGGGAGGCTGGAGACATGACATCGATAAAGACACAATGTTGACACAATGACTGAGTGAACTTCACATTGAGGAGGGTGTGTGTGAGGACAGTCATTTGGTTTGTATCACTGGATGCTTCAACCCAGTAGGCCTTTGAGCTCTTTAAGCATGACTGCTTCCTGTTTAGAGCATCCTTAGGTTTCTCATGATTTGTATAGAGGCAAAGTAATGACGGGAAGGGAATTTTTTTAAATCTCAAAACCCACATTGACTTTGATAAGTCTACTCCACTGGAAATAGCGTTCTCTTGTATTAGATACTTAAAGTCCAGCAGGGGTAAATAAATTTTAAGGAAGTTTTTAAAAAAATCTTATACTCACATATAAGTATATTCAAGTGTCCCTCAACTCAGGAATGAAATTATATTTTATTTTTAAAAAAACTGTATTTCAACACATTTTTATTTATTTTTGAACAATAATCATGTCATAGCCTCCTCTGAAAAAGCAGGTGATATGGTTCAGACCAATTTTTTCCAGAGATTCTTAAAGCTGGCAGACTAAAAGTGGCAGATTCTTCATGTTTTTGAATATAATAATATAAATTCTATCAATGTTGATTGTTTGCAACACCTTTCCTTCAGGTTCATAGGTAGTAAGATCCTCTTAATTTTTAAATTATGAACTACTTTTCCCAATGTGGCAGTTCGTTAAACAATCAGAAGGAGCATTCTAGCAATCCATATGGGATATCTTTGCTAACCATGCTATTTGGACTTGCTGCTGCTCTGGATTGTCGTTTCACTTGTCATATTCATCATAATTTGTTGAAGGAGTATGCAGCATCTAGGACAAGCATTGATCTGATAGGGGATATGGCTGGGTTGGCATTCAAGATGCATTCTCTCTATTGAGTTTTTAACTGAGCAAATCCAGCCTTGCAATATAATCTTAATGTTATCTCTATTGCAGGTAGATGTGAAGAAGACAGCTCTGGCATTAGCAATCACAGATTCTGAACTCTCCGATGAGGAGGCATCTATCCTAGAAAGTGGAGGATTCACCGTCTCCAGAGCTACAACACCACAACTGACAGATGTGTCTGAAGGTGGTACATTCCTTCTCCCCGTACCAAGTTTCATATTTCAACTTGGAGCCATTGAATGATACAATACAAACTCTATATTGCTTTGTGGCAGAACTAAGAAAAATTAAGCAAGAACTGGAAAGGATCACATAATTCTGAATGTTTCTGGCTTCAGAGTACATGTAGATTGCAGTGTCTTTTGCATGTTAATTTTGTAACTGTTAATTAATTTGGAAGTAATTAGTAATTCCCCTGTCTTTGTCCCAGTTATAGTACAGAATTATAACAAAAAAAAAGCTTCACTGAATTGAAACTTTGCTTCACTGAATTGGTTTCCACTGCTCTTCCATTCTTTTTTCTTCACCTCCATCCTCTAACAAAATGGCACCCAGATGATTACTTACAACAACCACACCGGCCTAGATCATAGCCTATCCTGTAACTCTTCCTGAAAACAATTGTAGAAGAGGTTTTTGTCAATGAGGAATTCTGTTCCTTATAGATCCATCCAAAGCAGGGGTAGTATATTGTAATATTATTTTTCCATTCATTGTTTGGAGTGGAGAGTTTTGAATTAAACCTGTTTTGACAAGACTCAGAAATGACTTTTTGAGATGCAAAGCTGTATATTATGACTGGCCAATATAATTAGGAGTTCTTTATAAACTGATTGAAATCGTATAATGCGTATTTACCAATGGCACTTTCTCCTTATAACAAGATATAATAAAGAAAAGTTTTAGTAAGCATGCCTGTTTGGATTGTGACTTTTAGATTTGAGCTAGCAGTACAGCTCTTGGCTTATAGAACTTCAGGCAGAGCAGACGGAAAAACATTGTAATGCAGCTCAGAAGGGGGAAAAAAAGAACAAAAGCCAGACAAGCATGTTCAGAAATTTGTCTAGTAAACAAGAGTGAAACCCACAGTGGAGCTAGCAGCCACATTAAAGATTCAGAGCCGTAATCTCAAGTGCTGAAAGTTACATGCTTCCTAACTGCCTATCTGCTTTTTTAGATCTGGACCAGCAGAGCCTCCCCAGTGAGCCTGAAGAATGCTTCTCCAAGGATTTAGCAGAATTCCCTTCTGTAGAAGAGTTCCATTCCAAAGACTTGGGACCATCCAATGAAGATGACAATTTTGGGATTCCCATTCAAAGTGCACAACAGCTAAATTCTGCTGAAGAGGAAGAGGAGGAGGCGGCGGCGGCATCAGCAGTAGCTGCCGCCGTGAATTCGGACACATCCATTCTGTGCCTGGCCTCACCCCTGCATTTTGTAAATACCCATTTCAATGGGAATGGGCAGGCCATGGTGGGAGGAATCCCTGAATCCCAAGCTACCTGTGCACAAGGCCTGGGGCTACACATCGATTCGTTGAGTCAAGAGATTGTTACTACGGCTATCAGCACAGTTGTGCAGAACACCCTGTCAGCTCTGCTCCACTCCTCGGAGGACACTGAAGGGCCCTGTTTCTCTGAGTTCTTGCCTACGGAACCTGAAGAGAGACTTAGTTTCCAGGCACAGCTATCTGCGAATGAGGAAGTGGGAGCAGCTCCTCTGCCTGGGAAAGAAGAGGAGGAAGAGGAAGCTGATGATTTTGAGCTGCTGGATCAGAAGGAGCTGGAGCAAATGGATACAGAGCTAGGCCTTGCTGGAGAAACAGAAGCTCCAGGAGCTCCTTCTCAACCTCCTAAAGAACCATCACCCTGATCTCACTGTTCAGTTCTGTTTCCGTAGCTGCCAGAAGGGACAAACAGAGAAGTTTAGGCTGTACTGAAGGACAGATAGACGTGTGGCAAAGCACCCAAAGTCCAAGCAAAGCACCCATATTTGCAGTGTTATGTCTGGAATTGAAAGTTGTTGTCCTCCTCCTCCTAGTATTGGCCTTTCCACCAGGCCTCTGTTTCTGCCCATGCTTCTTAGTGATGATGCAGTCTTTGTCTGCTGCTGTAATTTTTCTGTATTAGTCTGTTTTGCTGTTTTTATTTCGCACATATTTTCTGCTAGATATTCCTGCCACTACAACTTACTGCTCATCCCCATATATCCAGTAGGAAATAAAGGAGTTTTATTCAGCAGAGAGGGTGTAAATAATTTAAAGAGGACATTGGTCTGTTAATTGAACAGGAAGGAAAAACATTCTTGGAGAAATAGATTTGGGAGGGGTTTTCTTTTTCACAGAAAGTTGGGGAATAGAAAGTATGTTTTCATGTAGTGATACCATATAGAGAATTTTTTTTTCTGGGAAAATGAAGGCAATCTGAACTTTAACTGTCTTGCACAGAAAGCAGGTGCTTCTACCGTTCCAAGAACCAGTTCTATGTTCTCAAATATTTTAAACCTTCAGCCTATTTTCCACTATACATAGGGTGAATATACACTATGCCCAAGGTTTCTGGGAAGGCACAGCCTGATTTTATTTATTCTGAACTACACATCTAGTTGTCTGGAATTTTTAAAAATTCAGTTGGAAGAACTCAAATTTAGTTGTAGAATCTGGAAGCCTCTTTCCTCTTCCCTTTCCCTTTCTGCTGCACTTTACAAATAGTTTTGCTTGTTGGTATCAACCCTGCCCTAAAATATCCTGGGCAAAATGAGTTCTTCTAATGCCCTTAGCCTCGCCTCAGGGAGAGAAGCAGAACAGCTAGATAAGACATTATGTGAGACACAAGAAATAATTCTAGTGTCAAAGGGGAGGAAGGGGACTCGTTTTGCCTATCGACTCCCTTCGTTTTTGAAAGACCAAGCATTTCAATTGCAATATCTTTGCTAATTAGAGCAATAGGTCCATTTCTGTTTTCAGGAGAAAGAACTGGGCAAGATGGTTGGTCTCCCCTCCCTCCCCAAAAGTGGTCAATGTCCATAGGGATGGATTGTGAAATGTTACGGGAAACACAATGGAAACAAAATGGGTCAATACTTTTATTTTAAAGCAGCAGAGTTGCTGCAAAGCTACAACTGTTTAGCAGTGGCCTTCCTTAATTGAATGGCTCTTAGTTTGTTCCTTCACTTCTGCCCGTTTCAGCCAGTTTTCCCATGAATTGTCAGTCTTGGTATTGTTGCTCGTTTTCCAAGGGACTACAAGCCATAGTGCAAAAACAGCATTATGAGTTGGTTGTCCTCTCATTGTGTAAAGTATTCAAAATATACAGTATGTCACCCAGCTGTTGGTGCGCTAGGATAAAGAGAAACTACAACTTAGATTTATAAATGCAGGCTCCAGATCTCTTGTTACCGGTCCCATAGGACTTTCCCCTTAAACTGCGCTTCTTAAGTTATTTGATTAAGATGCACGAAGGGCATCTGAAGGAAATCCAAATGGCTCTGCAATTTTGGCCTCCATACTTAACCTCTCCCCCTGCCTTTGGCAACTGCTAGGAAGATAACTGTACTTACTGCCTTCTTTCTCTTTCTCCATTCAGACTTCTGATAAACGGCAATGAATTTGTAGATGTCTGCAAGCACAACTGTTTTTGTCAGCCAGAGCTGGCTCCTTTTCTGTCCTGTATTGCCTGCCCCTCCCTCAAAAGGAGTGGAGTGGGGTGACTGTGAATAACAGCTTCCTCTTACTGTCTGCACTTTGGAAACAGGCAGCTTTGTGGCACTGAGTGTAAAGCCTGCCCACCCTTTGTGTTGTGCCCTGGCAATAATTTTTCCACTCGGTGAAAAAGCTCTAACTTTTTCTTTCTGGTGCAGAAGGCATGTATTGTGTTGATATTTCTCTCTGGTTCTTTATGCTTTCTTCCTTTCCTTTGGTGGCAGCAATGCCCTGCTGCTCCAGGATAGAGACTCCTAATGAAGGGCTGGAAAATAGCTATTATCATTGCCCGGGAAAGGTGAAAGGCTCTAAATTGTGTAGCAGTGTTTATTCTATGACTAAATATTTAAAAATGAAATGTAGTCTTTTTAATAAAAAAAAAGTTTAAAGATTTGAATTTTGGGTGAAAGATATGTTTTTTTTCTTAGTCAACTTAAAGAGTCCCAGTTTGTACATTTTTTTTACTTTGGTCAGTGTGTGCAAGTGTGAGCAGTGATTCCTAAGTCAATGCCGGAAAGCTATTCCAGGTAGTCCTTGAATTACAGCCACTAGTGAGCCCAAAATTTATGTTGCTAAGTGAAACATTCATTAAGTGAGTTTTGCCCCATTTTATAACTTTTCTTGCCACAGTTGTTGTGAATCATTGCATTTGTTAAGTTAGTAACATGATTTTTAAGTGAATCTGGATTCCCCCTTGATTTTGCTTGTCAAAAGGTTGCAAAAGATGACCCCAGGACCCCAGGCCAGGACACTGCAATTGTCATGAATATGAACCAGTTGCCAAGCACCTGAATTTTGATCCTGTGGCAATAGGGATGCTGCAACGGATGGAAGTGCGAAAAATGGACATAAGTCACTTTTTTCAGTACCGTTGTAACTTTGAACGGTCACTAAATGAATGGTTGTAAATTGAGGACTACCTGTACCATACCAAGGGTGATACTCATTTGAATGTACATTTCAATTCAGTTAAGCTCGTTACAGACACAAATTCAGGTAATTGTGTCACTTATCAATGAAGGTTGCGTCTGATTAACCTTGAGCAGGAGAACAACACTTAGAAAGAATATATGTAGAATTCTTTTTCATACTAAATGTTCTTTATTTCACCAAAGAGATGTACTATGAACCTCTTAAGTGTCTTGAAAGTTACTAAGCTTGTAAAAATAGGTGATATGATAGGAATGATAGGAAAAATATAATTCTTGTATCATCCTGAAGATCTTTGGTTTGATTTCCAAGTGTAAAGTTATAATTTTTAAATAGGAAAAAGAAGGGAAGTGCATGAGAACAGTAATATTAAATTCCAGAAAGGCCATGCTCTCAGCATTGTTTCAATCTGTTCTCTCTTTTATTTAGAAAAATATATTCAAAGTCTTTCTAGTCATATATATAATCCTTAAATATTTAACGCACAGGACCCAGTTTGTGCTGTCACTTTTCAGAATCCGAAATACCTTTTACAGTTTTCTAATGGTACATAGATAAGCAAGAACACCGGATATCAACACTAGCTTTTATTACAAAGACTTAACAATAATAAAGGCAGGAGACTAGCCAGGGAAATATTCTAGAAAAGTTCTCAATAAATAAAAATGGGACACCTTCATGAGCAGGATCAAAATTGATCAGTCGGTTGAAGTAGAAATTCTATTCCTATTCAAGATTTTTAAAAAGTGTTATAGCTTCTGTCCTGTGTTATTCTGCAAAACTAAAAGCAAACATTTTAGCCAGCAATGCTGCTAACACCTTTTCTTCTTTTCAGCAGAGACTGTTATATGTTGGTAGATGTCCACCATAAGCATTCCAAAGAAAACTGTCACAAGAATCATCTTTATGAAAGTCCTTCTTCCAAGATGTTGGATAACAGTGCAGCATAGCTTCTTCACAATAGGAAAGAATTATTATATGCGTAGACTTGTCATTACAGAAGGCAGTTTATAGTGTTGGTTTTTTTAAAAAAAACAGTTTGTGACTAATCTCAGGCAAGAATCAAAATGATATTCCAAGCGCACTAAAGTCTATTTTCAAAAAGTATCTACAATGGAGTTTACTACTTTACAGTCCTCCAAACCTAAAGCATTCCGAAAAAATGAAAAGTTGTATCTGTTCTTCAGATCTTATACACTGTGTGCAGCCTGGAGGAGATGGATCAGTTTCTTACAGTGCCTTGATGTTGGCCGAGGACTACTATACATTGAAGCCTGAGATCCATGAATGGAAAGGGCTTCCAGTTTTTCACTTGCTTGGAGTGACATCAGCACCTAGAAAGGAAACTTAATAGTTATCTAGGGCTGTGTTCTCACAAATCAATCAGTTCTAAAAATATCTCCATTTTCAAAGGAATAAAATTCACAAGAAGAAGAAGAAAAAAACACTACATTTCCTGAATATGCTGATCAGCAAAGGAATCAAGGGCAAATTTGAAATGCAATTCTGTTGAAAAACAATCTGCACAAAGTAAGTGCTCCATTATCAAAGTAACAACCCAACCTCCCACAAGTAAAGCTGGGTAAGAACATTATTCAGAAGAGTAAAGCAACCCAAAACACCAGAAAAAGTAAACGCCTATGCAACATCTTCTAACAAAATGGATACCATGCAACTTAATCAAAAAGTGCTTGACCACTCAACCCATTACAGCACAACCAATACAAGCTATACAAACACGAACACTACCATACATCATAAGCATCTTAGAAACAACTATTACAACCACACAGCATCTTTGTAGCACACAAACCTACTAAAGTCCTCCAAAACATCTTAAGTAAATCAAAAGACTCACTAGGCCAAGAAGAAAAAAACAGGCGTCATCTATAGTGTGGAATGTAAGGACTGTAGCGGCTGCCATGTGGGACAGACAGGCAGAAGACAAGCAAAGCGCATGCAGGTACCCCAGCCAGCAGTCAGTGGGAAGACTCCTTAATCTCATAACACGTGGACAGACTCAACCATAGTTCTAACTGTGAACTGAGCAGCCTAGAACAAACTAAATCCATAAAAGCTTGGCATTCCTGGAAGCTTGGCATTCAGACAAATCAAGCATCCATAGACACAATTCCACATTCACCAGCACTGATGCAATTACCTAGATGGGTACTGAAACGTCTGCAAGCAAACAAACTAAGAGAACACTAAGGATTCCATTTTTCCAAATAGCCTCTTTTATTCCCTCCACAAACTAGTAGCTAGAAAAGCTACATCATATATCTTTACATAAAAATCTACTGTATCTCGTTAACAAAACATTTGTGACACAGGAAATTTTTAAAAAACAAATATCTATCAAAATATATTAAAAACACTTGATACTAGGACAAAACTGCTAAAGATCCTATGCTTAGCTATCATAAAATTAATTTTGCATTCCCAATCGTGATCGTTGTACAAAAAAATGGAGGCTTCCTGATGGCTGTTTATTAAGTTAAGAGAGGATAGAGAGTGCCAGTCTTACGTTAATAGAAACCAGGAGACAAAATGAGATTAAATAAACATTCTGGACTTTTCCTTTTCCAGTAACATTGGGTGCCAGTATTTAGAATGGAATTCTTTAAGACTAAAAATAACAGTCTAATAGAATAACCTTTCTAGATCTAATGCATAATATTTTAATTCTGGCCTAGTAAATAAAGTTTGAGAAGAAAACTTCTGTGGTGCATTGAGGGTCTACACTAAAGTACTGCCCGTCTCCAATCCTTTCCTCACTGGACCAGAGTTCATAGTCATCCATCATCACCCTTCAAAATTACAGACTTTGTACCTGGTGAATCTTGGACTGCTGACCAATGGAGCGTAAAGCAAAGAGCGCTGCCTCTTGCACAGCAGGATGGGAGTTGTGGCAGGCCGCATCCAACAGAAGTTCAGGTGCTCTGCTCTGGATCAGCAAATCTCCCACCTCCACGGACTGTCGTCCCAAGTTGCCCAGTGCTGAAGCGGCATTGCAACGGGTCCTTGCCTGAGAATCTCCCAGGAGCCGAACAAGCCGAGGCACGGCTTTGTTAACACCCTGCATTACAGGACCAGCCTGGTAGGCTGCGTTACCGACGGCGAAGCTGGCTGAGCAACGCACGTGCTCATCTTCATCTGAAAGACAATCCACCAAAAATTCCTGCAATCCAGCCTTGTGCCAGAGTCTATGAGGAAATCCTTCTCCATGTCGTAAAAGATTGCCTACAAGGCTACAAGCTCTGGCTCGGATCAGGCAATCCCGATGGCGAAGCACATGGTTCAACAGCTGGGAAGCTGAATCGGTGTCGATCAGGAGCCTCTGCAGGAAAGGCAAGTGAGCTGGACTGGCCCGGGCTATGTGAGTGAGCAGAGAGAGCAGGTCTGCAGTAATAGCTACCTGATCTGAAAGCAAAATGGCCGACAAGAAGACAAGGGCTTGTTCTGAGGTGGCTACTTCCACCACTTGCCCAATGATTCCCTCATCACTCAATACCAAGCGGCACAAAAGGCTCAAAGGCAACTCAGTCTCTGAGATGGGAAGATGTTGAACGGAGACCTAAGAAAGGAGAGGAAGGAGTCCAGGAATGAATTGAGATTCTTATGAAGAACAGCATGATGGAATCAAAATCCGTTTATGTTTTCCAAAGGTTGGAATTTCTATCTTACACCAAAAGTACAACTTCTCTCTAGTTATCTAGGCCACCTTTACATGTGCAGTCAACGGGAAGCAGGATGAAATGCAGGAAAAAGAACAGCCGGGGCACAGGTAGGGAACTATAAGGCTATTCTCCCTGACCCCACCCCCTTGCAAGTACCTAAATGATGGAACAGATTTTACCTGGAGTAAATGGGCAGGGATTTGAGAGTCCCTCAGGCTTGCTATGATACATTCTAAAGTTTCTGGGTCTACATCCAGAGCAAACGGGAAACAGAATACCCGACAGACTTGGAGCACAACAGTGGGCACCAGTTTGGGATCACTGTCCTCCTGCACCTGCCTGGGGATTAAGGAGAAAAAGAGCAGCAAGTCAGGCATTAGGCTGATCAAATTCCACCAGATTTAGTATATCAGCTGCAGTCCCAAGCATCAGTGGCTTCAGAAAACATTAAGTCAAATGAAATGTTTATGCCAGGGCTCTTCAAACTTGACAGCTTCCAGATTTGTGGACTTCAACTCCCAGAATTTTTCTTCCAGTCATGCTGGCTCAGGAATTCTGGGAGTTGAAGTCCACAAGTCTTAAACTTGCCAAGTTTGAAGACCCTTGGTTTATGCAAAAGGTTAACAGTAAAGCAGTAACTGCGGTAAAGGAAGGGCTGCAGTGCTGTAGCTCAGCGGTAGAGCTTCCCGTGCAAAACGGAAGGGATGCTTCGGGGCCTGACATTTTCATTCAGGAATTGGGAAAGGCGCCATCCATTCAGTGCAGCAGACAG